AACTCATAATTCTTGTCTGTGTTAGCCATCTGACTTGGTAACTTCTACAGTGAAAGCATTCTCATCTTGCTTTCTCTGTGTCTGGCTGATGACTGTAGGCTCAGCCTTTCCTCTTCCCAGAATTCTCCTGTTCTCATCGCCCCCCCTCCCCACTTCCTGCCTGGCTACTGGCCAATCAGCGTTTTATTAAAACAATACAAGTGACAGTAAAAGACCATTGTCCCACGGCAGAATGGTATTGTGTGTGTGTTCCATTTTCTCTTTTCTGTTCATCTCTTTTTAATTAAAAGTGTGTATATAATGCATGTGTGTGTGTACACATTTGCATGTGTGTGGGCTGATGTGAGGTGTCTGCTGATGTGATATGAGGTGTTACCCCCTTCCCCGTTTTGTTTGAAGTAGGATCTGTCACTGACTGGCCATTGAACCCCTGTCTCTGCGCCCTACCCCACCCACCCGAGCTGGAACACAGCCCTGTGAAGCAGTGCCTGGCCTTTGTGTGGGTGCTGAGGATTTTTTTTTAATGATTTATTTACTTTTTATTTTATGTGCATTGGTGTGAAGGTGTCAGATCCCCTGGAACTGGATTTTCAGATAGTTGTAAGTTGCCATGTGGATGCTGGGAATTGAACCTGGAAGAGCAATCAGTGCTCTTAACCACTGAGCCATTTCTCCAGCCTGGTGCTGAGGATTTGAACCAGTCCTCATGCTTCCCTGCTAAGCACTTTGCCCGTTGCATCATCTCTAGCCCTTAGGTGTGTTTTCTTGCATTTTTCTTGGTGTAGAATTAGGCTCCTTACCCATTTTGGATACTCTCCTCTCTTGATGTGTGGTGTGCAGATGGTGTCTCCATCGGGAGGGGCCCGCTGACCGTTGTTTCCTTTGCTGTACCCACCGTTGTAGCTTGATAGTTTTTGTTTTTGTTGCCTGTGCTTTTAGATGAGTCCCTCAAAAAAACAAAAACAAAAACCTGTGACTAAGTGTATAATCCCCGCCTTTCAACCTGTGTTTAATTCTAATAACTTTGAGTTCCTGATCTTAATGTTTAGGTCTTTAACCCATTTTTGGTTTGATTTTTGTAAATTATAAACATAGTGGTATTTTTCCTATCTACTTGTATCTACTGTATTTTATTTCTATGTCAAGGCAGTCATATGACTCAGAATCATAGGAGGAAAGAAGAAACTTGTAAGCTTACGTCTTTGCGTTCAGATGATTTTATATATAATTTCGTCCAGGAATGTAAAAACTGCTAGATCCTTGAAAGTTTATATCAGAAGATAAATAGATCTTCTCAACTGATTACTTCATCTTATTCCTATCCAACTGAGTGTTTTCTGTCCTCAAAGGCTGAAGATTTTTATGGCTTTAAGATGTATGTTACCCTTGGGCCTCTTTGAGATCTTTATTGGATTTTTACTTTGAACTTTTTTGTTGTTGGGTTTTTTTTTTTTTTTGAGACTGAGTCTCAATTTGTTGCTGAGGCTCACTGATAATTCTCACGTAGTCCAGGCTGGTCTGACTCAGGGATCCTCTTGCCTTAACTCTCAGAGTTTACAGGCATGAGCCTCGGTGCCCAGCACTTTTTTTTTTGGGGGGGGGTGGCTCTTGATCCTCTTGTGTCGTATTCCAAGCACTAGAGTTAGAACATGCACCATGGTGCCCAGCTAAATATTTTTTATGGAATTTTGCTTCCACTCCTTATAAGCTCACCTGGCATTGTGTGTCTAGTATAGTTTTAACAATATGCAAATAGCAATAACTCCTTTGAAATGCAATTATGTGGATGACAATAAAGGTACTCTTATCTGAAACCTAAACTGTTGGATTTTAAAAATGACCTTGCAAGACTTGCCAGCGTATTCTACTAAAAAGGAAACACATTTTATTCGTACTTGGCCTTTTATTATAATAGTGTGCCGTTGAGCTAATTGAATTCAGCTTACTTCAGATGTTTAAAAGTATTTCTTTCCAAAAGCTTCCTGTGTTGGAGAGGGCCCAGTGGTTGAGCTTGTATTCCTCTTCCCAATGCCATATCAGGTGGCTCACAGCTGCCTCTAACTCCAGCTCCAGGGATCTGATGCCTCTGGCCTTAAGAAACTAGCACAAGCTTGCACATACCCAAAAAAGATACAAACCACATCATTAAACATAATAAAAATATAGATCTCTAAAACAACAACACGAACAGTTCCTTTAACTCTGAAATGTATAAACTAGTTTTCCAGCCAGGAATAGTAATGCAAGCCTGTAGTTCCCGCACTTAGGATAAGGGAGTAGGATCAGGAGTGGCAAGTCTGCCTCAGTCACGTGTCGGAGTCTAGGCCAGCTCCACTACATTTAACCCTGTCTCAAAGCAAACAAAAAAAGGACTTTTTCCCACCTGAATATTGGATTTATTTTTGTTTAAAGTTGTGCCCTTTTTTTTTAATTGAGTAATAATTTCTGAGTTGATAACTTGTATGACTAACCCAATTGTATTTTAATTTTAGCTTGTATTTACTTTGTTTTGGGTGCAGCTAGTTCCTTCTGTGATTTAGGGGGTCATTTATTTATTGTTCATTAGAAATTTGTGAAACTGAAAGTTAGGTATCAAGTTAAATATTTGTTGAGTAAGTTGAGTCGTATGTTTAGGAGTGGATCCAGGGCTTGTGCTTGATAAATACTTGATCTACCATATTGAGCTACGCCTCAGAAAGTTAATAGGGTCTTTATATGATGTGAATATAGTCTTGTTTTTGGAATTTGAAGTGGTCTTTTAAAAAGCTGTTTCTGCCCAGCGTTTGGCACACACCTATAAACCTATAAACTTGAGAGGTTAGAGATGAGATCAGGGGTTTAAGGTCATCAACTACTACTAGTGAGTTGGGCCAGCCTGAGCTACAGGAGTCTGTCTCTCTCTCTCTCTCTCTCTCTCTCTCTCTCTCTCTCTCTCTCTCTCTCTCTCACACACACACACACACACACACACACACACACAGTCACACACACTCATTCCTTTGAGGCATAATTTACACATAACAATGCATCCCCTATTTATTTATCTATCTATCTATTTATTTAGCGTGTGTATGTGGGAGTAGGCTTCCATTTGAACACAGGGTCTCATGTATACTTAGTAAGAATTCCAGACTGGGTTGTATCCCCAGCTCTAGAAGATGTCATTTTAAATGTACAATCAGGTTTTTTTTCTTTAAAATTGATGAATATGCAAAACTTACATTAAAATTTGATTTTAAGTGTTCAGTTTAGAATTTTAAAAATAGTTTATACAGGTCTGGAGAGAAGGCTCTGCAGGTAAAGGTGCTTGCTGCCTAGCCCTATAAATCTGAGTTCCATCCTTGGCACCCCATGGTAGAAGGAGAGAACTGAATCCCATGAACTATCAAGTAAAGAGTCTCAGTTTCTCCACACCTTCCTTCAATGCTTATTATAGCTAGTCTTTTTAATTTTAGTGTTTATATTGCTTTAGTTTGGTTTCTGTTGCTGTGATTAAACAGTGACCAAAAACAAAAGTCAGCTTTAGGGGAAGCAAAGGTTCATTTTATCTTGTACTTTACAGCCCATCAATGAGGCAAGAACCCAGAGGCAGGAACTGAACTTAAGAGGAACACTGCTTGCTAGTTTGCTTTTTCAGTTTTACACAGATTTACACCTTCCTTATAAAGCCCAAGCCCAACTGCCCAAAGGTAGAACTGCCCTGGGCCCTCCCACATCGTTAGCAATTGAACAAATGTCCCCACTGGCACGCCCTGAGTCCAGTCCTATTGACTCAGTTCCTCATCTGAGGCTCCCCCTTTCCAGGTGTGTCAGGTATGCAACCAAGATACTCCATTACAGTGTTTTTAATGTTATTTCATTGTGCTATTTTATGTCATTCACATGCCAACAGTTCACCCATTTCACACGTATAATTCGTTAACATGACAGTTTGGTTAGAAGTAGCACCCTAACACCTCTTTATACAGAGTGTCTCAAATGTTTGGTTGGGGCCTTCACCCCACTCCCCTGGCATTCATCTTAAAATGTTGGGCCGAAAACTCCATTCTAAGCCCCTTCTCCTGGGAATGGTTGCAGTCCAGACTGCACCTCCAAGAAAGCCCGCCAAACGGTGATCCTTCCCCAGGGAAGGTCAAGACCACTCCCACAGGCTATTTAAACTCCCCCCAGAGAATGAACACTCCCGGCTTTCCCTGGTCTTTCAGTTCTCTGTTCCACTCTACCTGTTTTGGGGGGGGGGGGGGATGACACATGACCACGGACAGGACTCTTTCGGTCTGATCTGGTTTGGTTTGGATTATTGCAGAGCAATGGCAAAGGAAAAATACTTACCAATGACCACCACCCCTGATGATTTTTATCATTCCTTGAAGAAACCTATACATCTCAGTTACAATTCTCTTACCCACCTTCCCATCTAAATCCTAAGCAACTTGTTTACTTTCTGTCTTATAATCTTATCAGTTCTAGACAATAAATGGAATTGTTCAGTATGTGGGTGTTTATAACCAGCTTTGTGGTGTGTGTGTGTGTGTGTGTGTGTTGTATATATGTACTTGTGTGGGTATTGTGTTCCTTAATCTCTCTTCATCCCCCTCCCCTTCTTTTTTTTAAACAGTGTCTTTTCACTGAATCTGGAGCCCATTAATTTGGCTCATTATTGGCTGGCCAATGAGCTCCAAGGATCCCCTTGTCTTAGTACTCCGCACACACTGGCCTTACAGACCTTTACCACCAGGCTCAGCATTTTACATTATGCTAATATATGACAACATTGGTTTTAATTGGTATCTGTTGGTGACTGGGATGACAGTGGTGGTGGGGTGTGTGTGTGTGTGTAAAACTATGACTTTGCAAAAAAAAAAAAATCCTAAGCATCTGCAAATTCAGCTGTTACCATGCTTAACTACTCCTTGTTTCACTCCCCACAAAACACTGTAACACTTGGTTAGTTTCATACTTCTGCGCTTAGTTACTTATTTTCTTTTTCTGTTTTGCAGAATAAGAAAGCTAACCTGAATTTTGGGGAAAGAACAGAGTGAAGAAATAAGGATAGAAGACAAGGTTTACCGGTTTGCATAATGTAAGTTCTTTTCACTATTTTTGGCCTAAGTCCTGTATTAGCTGACAAAGCTGTTTCTATGGAAACAGAGTCCAGCCTCCTAAAATGTCAGAGGAATGCTGATCACTTAAAACGAGACTTTACATGCTAAAAGGAGAAGGAAAGATGGAGCGGGGAGGGGTAAGACTCTAGGTGGGTAGTGAACGTATGTGAAGTCTTTCTTTCCCATCTCTCTCTCGACCGAAAATTTAAGATTATATAAGAAAATTTATATATAAGTTTTCCTGATAACCTGCTTTGTTTCCCAGCCTTGGTACAAATGGTTGTTTCTTGGTATTGAGTTTAGGTTTCCTCCCTCTCTATCATTTGGTCATGTGAGTTCCATTTATCTACAACAGGTCCTACTTTTTTTTTTTTTTTTTTATTGAGAATAAGAAAAAAAAGTTTCCGCCTCCTCCCAGCCTCCCATGGATGGTTGTGCTTCAAAATGCAGCACAAAGAACTGTGTCCTCTATTTTCCTTGTTTCTTGTCCCTCTGGTTTAAATGTCTGCATCCTCTTCACACTTAATGATACTCTAAGTTTAGTTTAACAGATATTTCTTAGACATTTCCTTTGTCACCTTTGTGATGTTAGGTCCTAGAGATGTAAAAATAAGACATAGCCTGTTCTTTAATACATTTGGGATCTGCTGAGGAGAACCAGAGAAAAATAAGCATTTAATTTTTTTCTTGCTCTAAGCTGAACGGTTAGGAGAGATAACCAAAATAAAATGTTAAGTGGATTAATGATAGTTGTAGAAATCTGAGAATAAAGACTAGATCCATAATTACAAATTTAAAAATTAAGACTTTATTTTTGGAAATATGTATTTTTAAAATTAAAATTAACCATAACACTATAGTAACTCCTATGCAAAGTTCTGATTACTTATAATGAAAACATTAAATAAGCTGCCTCCAGTTTAATTTATATCTTTTATAATGAACACAGAAAGCTTAAGGCTCACCTAATATAAATCCAGTAGCTCTAATTTTCTTGGAACTAATGGTAAATATGGTGCTTCTATATAGATCATGTGCTTATAAATAAGAGACTTAAAATTTGGAGGATAACCTGTCATTATAAAAATTCAGTTTTAGCGGCTCATGTAATTTGTATCTGTTTTCCGGGTGGTTGGCCTTAGTGGCTCTCCTAGAGCCTGTGTTCATCTGTGTTAAGCAGTTTGTCTTTTCTCCTTTCTCACTGTAACGGCAGCTGGAAGAAGACTGACTGGTACTAGGAATACTGTCTAAAAACCTGGATTTTACTCAGTCAGCATTGTACTCTAAGCATATTTACTGAAGTGATGCTCAACTCAAGGAGGAGGTAGGCTCAGTATTGTAAATATTTTTAAAGCCTGTGCAGAAAAAGCTAATTAAATTTAATGTGTGGGTCTGCACACATAAACAGCCTGTATATTTATGCCTAAATGACTTGATGAAAAGCTAGTGACATTGAATAAAATGTTTTCTATTTAATTTATTTTGGAGGACTCTTAAGTTAGAATCAAATTAATACTAATAGTACATATATTTATTTTGTAATTTGTATACATTATCTTTTTTAAAGCTAAAAAAGTTCTGTGAGTAAATTTCCTAAGTGACGCTGTGGTTCAGCAGGAGCCAAGCTGGGAAATACAGTAGAGCCCAAGTGAAAGCTCGGTGCTCTTGTCTGTGTGCTCCTTCTGCTGGAAGTCTTTGTGTTTTTAATGCTACAGAAACTACTGTTTTCTTTAAATGAGTCCTTACAAGTTAATCTTAATTTTCCTTATAAAATTTCACCAGTTATAAAGACTAACGTTCTACATAGTCTTTTCTAACTATGTAGTTTTGTCCTTAGATAATTTCACTGATAAACCTTGTTTTTGGGCATCATCTTCATTGCAAAACCCCCTATAAAATTTAACCTAAAAATACTTTCTGTATTTCAAGTTAGCCATTAACATGGCTGTGCCATGCACCAAGTTGTAGTCAGTTGTTCACACAGCCAACTAATCCTGTGTGCCTTAATTAAGCATAAGGTTGAGATGTTTAAAGTGATTGTTGAAGTATCTTTAGCCCCAGAGCACCTGTTCTCTACAAAGTTAATAGCCAAACCATTTTACTTTCTCACTCTGTTAACTGTTACAGTGAATCACTTTTCTTAACCTGTAAATTGAATAGTATGCTTCATATTCTTGAGAGACAACTTTTTAAAGAAATACCTTGATGTTCTCAACATTATCTGTAAAATGAAGGGAATGGTCTTAATCTGCACTGTAAACTATATTAAGAACTTAGTAGATATTTTCTGTATTGTATAGAAATGGGAAATTGGCTATGTAAATTTTGTTTTTATATTGTAATTCTTATACTTTTCCCTCCATCTTTCCCCTTAGATTTCCCTCATGGATACATTTTCATAGCATTATTATGTGATATAAGAAGTTTTTTTTCTTTGACGTAACATGGATTTTATACTACAGAATTAAGAGAATTGGCTGTATAGGAAAAATTGATATATAAAAAGTGGTGCATGTTTATAGATAACCATGACAACATCGTATATGAATGGGCATGTAACAGAGGAATCAGCCACCGGAATAAAAAATCTTGATCTTACATCACCAGAGGAACATCAGAAGCACCGAGAGATGGCTGTTGACTGCCCTGGAGATCTGGGCACCAGGATGATGCCAGTGCGAAGAAGTGCACAGTTGGAGCGTATCCGACAGCAACAGGAGGATATGAGGCGTAGGCGTGAGGAAGAGGGGAAAAAGCAAGAACTTGATCTAAATTCTTCCATGAGACTTAAGAAACTAGCTCAAATTCCTCCAAAGACTGGAATAGATAACCCTATTTTTGACACAGAAGAAGGAATTGTTTTAGAAAGTCCTCACTATGCTGTGAAAATATTAGGTAAGTAAAAATAGCACAGTACGTTTTGCTTTGGTTTATGTATACTCTAACAAAAATATGTATGGGATGGACCAGATTTAAGAGAATATAAGTAATGCCAAGACTAAGATCAGTTCTTTATACTTAGAACAAAAGCACTGGTTTAAATATTGTTCTGGTTTGCTTTCCTTCGCCATGATAAACATCACAGCACAACTTATGGAGACAATGATGTGCTTCGCATGCCCCAGTCTGTCATTGAGGAAGGCAGGGCTGCCTCCCGGTTTGCCTGCGACTTGCTTGCTCAGATTGCTTTTTCTGACTGCCAGGGGTGGCTGTTCTTTTACAGACCTTTCCTGGGGAGACACAATACATGTCTCTTCATCCCAGAGAAGGAGCCAGGACAGACCAAAGTAAAGGTTCCACCAATGTCCAGATTGCTAAGCCAATGCATTTGCGGGGGTGGGGGGGTACTGATAAGACTATGGGTTACTTACAAGGAGTAAGGGTAATGTAAAAGCAGCTCAGCACCAGGAAGGCTACCTCAGTGTGTGTAGCCGCTGCCCAAAACTGCAATCTTCACTCTCTCTGTGCAGCTGGTAGACAGCTTAATGGTCTGAATTTCTTTTTCAACCCTTTCAGCTGGCCAGAGTCTCCCCTCTGCCCTCAATTATTTACTTTCTTTCCCACTGCTGGGTAGGGCCCCTGAAGAATCAGATTCTAAGTTCCTGTTCTCCATGACATGTGTCCTTTTGTTTACTTACTGAGGCTCATGATCCTCCCCCTCCTTCCTAGAACAAACGTTTAAATTTGAAGGGAGTATTACAATTCTTATAAACATGCCATATGGTGGTACTGCCCACCGTGGCCTGGGCCCCCTCCCATCAGCCATGCCTACAGGCCAATGTGATAGAAACAGTTCCTTAACTTAGATTCTTCACAGATAAGTCTAGGTTTATGTCAAATTAATGAAAACCAGCACAACTGGCCCTTTGCCAACATGATATACAAATGCATTACTATTAAACCTTAACCGTTCTTTTCTTGTCCCTAATGTATCGTGTTAATATTAATATCACAGTATGAGACAATCTAACTTTTAAAAGTTCCATGGTCTTTTAAAAATTCCTGCAATTTAAAAGGCCAAATTCTTTTTTCTTTTTTTCTTCGAGACAGGGTTTCTCTGTAGCTTTGGAGCCTGTCCTGGAACTAGCTCTTGTAGACCAGGTTGGTCCTGAACTTACAGAGATCTGCCTGCCTCTACTTCCCAACTGCTGGGATTAAAGGTGTGCACTATCACCACCTGAAAAACCCAAATTCTTAAAAATCCAAAAATCTCTTAACCGTGTGCTCCTCTAAAACAAAACAAAAGGCTAGAGAGATGGCTCAGTTGCTATGAGTACATATTGCTCTTCCTGAGTTCAATTCCCAGCATCCACATCAGGTGGCTTACAACTGCATATAACCCCCAGCTCCAAGGGATCACATACCACTGACCTCTTTGAGTACTTACATTCATGTACACATCCGTACACATGACTCAAATAGTAAAAATAAACCTTAAAAAATAAAAAAAAAAACAAGTTATATACTTTCTTATTTTAAAAGGGGAAGATCGTTGAACAGTCAAAGCAATATCACAACCAGTAGTGTAAATGGCTCAGAGTCCCATGTCTGGGACTCAGTTATGATCTTCTAAGTATCAAAGGGCTTGGGCAGCTCAGCTTCTTAGCTCTGCCACCGGGAAAACGCATAGCTTGTGTCATAGGCTCAAGTTGGTTAGACTCCACTCATGCTACTGTCCTTGGTGGTTATCCAACGGTACTGTCTCCAATATTCAGTGGACGCTCCATCTTCACCAATGGTCTCTCAAGTCCCCTCAGGGATTCCCATCCTGCCCGGGTGCCAGGCCTCAGCCTGTCTTCCTAACCTCTTCAGTCCTGAAATTTTGTTGCCATTAAAAATCCCTTACCATATGGGAGACTTTCACATTGCCAGTTTCATCTGCAGTCTTGAGATGCAGTCTTAGCTGGAACCACAGCTTCAGTGTGTTCGTACAGAGGAAATATGCCAAAAAATTTCACCTCAGTGTTGCTTGTCTCTTGTTAATCACAGCTGATTTTCAGAGTCTGCTAACTGGTATCAGTTGTCCTATTGAAGCAAACATTTCACTTCAGTTATGCTGGTCTTTTAGAAATCACTGCTGATTCTTCAACCTGAGCAACCAGAAACCACAGATTGTTAATTTGAAAATAAATAAACTCTTTGAGAGCCTCTCAGACTTCCCTTTCCTGGCTAGTCTCCACTACTGTGGTCCGGTCTGTCATGGCAGTACTGCACTCCTGCTACTGCTCGCTGTCCTCACTTGGTTTTTGTTGCTATGATAAACACAACCACTGAGCGTGACTGGGGTAGAAGCGGATTTATTTGGCTTACATGTGCCAGTTATAGTTCATCATTGAGGGAAGGAACCATGGTGGAAAGCTACTCATTGGCATGATCCATGTGGCTTGCTCAACTTACTTTTTTATACAGCCCAGGACCACCTGCCTAGGAGTGGCACTGCCCACAATGGTCTGCGCTCTCCCACATCAGTCAGTATTCAAGACATGCCCATGAGCCAGTCTGATTAGTTCCTCAACTGAGAAGTCTGTCTTCCCAAATGTGTCTAGTTCTATGTCAAGTTAACAAAGTCAACCAGCACAAATGATCAGGTCCTCCAGGCTTTATATGTAGAAAGCATTTCACAGGTGACCTGAAATTTTCATCTTTTATATTAACTCAAATTTTTTTGTCAGACTACTTAGAAGCAAAGTTAAATGATAATGGAAATAAATCTTAAAATCTATTTTATATGACTGTCAGTAAGGCAGATAGGAACTGTTTATGTGGGATCAACTTATTATCTCTAAATTCTGTTGCCAGACAAAAGCTGAAAACCTGGACCTAGGATTTGATTTATATGCAAAAGAGTTCTGCGTCCAAAAAACATGAGAATATTAGGTTAAAAACCTTCTCATTAAAGAATTTCCTTAAACCTTTATAATATTAGCTGGCAGTGTAGATGTAATGAGATTGATGAGTGATGATAGCCGCATATTCCCACACTTAGAATATTTAATCTGTGCATTTTATTCCTGCACATACCAACACTTAACAGCTGTGTTAGAAGTCAGTAGAAGTCATTCTGAGAAATATTGCTTTATACATTAATTTGTATTTTCTTTAAAGCCAGATGCTGTTTCTTGTGGTTACTGTTTTTTGGGGATGCCTTTTTTTTGTCATTGTCATCATTCTGCCATTTCCACGCCTGTTGAGCCCTGTGTACCTTAGCAGACACCATTCCTCTAATAATCATGTTACGAAGGTTCGTCATCTCTATTTCAGAGATGAAGGAAGTACCAGTATTAGTGCACACATGTAATCCTAGCCACCAGGAAACTAATGTGGGAAGATTCTGAGTTCCAGACCAGCCATGGTAAGACATGGTCTTAAACAGAACGACAAAAGACACATTGACTCTCAGTCACATAACACTTGCTTAAGACATCAAACTAATACTTAGGAGGGTCAAATTTGAATTTGCCAGGTCTGGAGCTGACTGCAGCAAGTAGTGGTTTAAATAGAGAGTGGTATCTAACCTGTACTTTGTGCCCCTGGCCAAGGCTCATGCTAACCCTAATTTGCCCATAAACATCTTATTTATCCTATATTTGTTCCTCCATGAGTCTTTTTATTTCCAATATAGAGCAGCTTCTATTCTATCTCATTTACTTTTCTTTGGTAATTTTCCTTCCAGATGGTATCTCTGTGGCTTTGGAGCCTGTCCTGGAACTAGCTCTCGTAGACCAGGTTGGCCTCGAACTCACAGAGATCCGCCAGCCTCTGCCTCCTGAGTGCTGGGATTAAAGGCGTGCGCCACCACCGCCCGGCTCTTCTTTGGTAATTTTTTTTAGAATGCCTATTTCAGATGTTCATGCTTCTGTTTTAAAAAAAAATCATAGCTAATGTATGTTAGACTTCCGGGGCACCTTAAAGAGACAGAAGACAGAAAGAAATCGGTCTGACCTCAGCAGAAAGGACTGTTTGAAGCAGGGAAGGACAGACCTAGATGTGTGTAGATGGTGTTCTGCAAGAGGAAAGGGGACTTGGAGTTTATGTAGGGTTTTGGAAATGGGAAGTTAGGTGCAACTTCAGGGACCTCCATACAGTCCCTATACCTGCTGGAATTGTTTGTCTAGACAAGGCCATTTTATCTTGCCCTGAATTCTGCCTTGTTCCTCCTACCAGGGGCTACCATGATTCAGCTTTCAGGATGCAGATGATAGTGGTGGCTGAGTTAGGCAATGGTGGTGAGGGCACAGGGACTGGAGTTTCATCATGGGGTGGGGGATTTTAGCAAGTCTTAGTGCAAAGGGAATCACCTTGGTCAGGGTCTGGCAGAGTTTGTTCAGGGTTTATTCCAAAAGTGTGGTCAGAGATAGGGAAGTCTGCTGCAAATGTCATTACAGTGAGAAAAGTATGTATTTAGTATATTTATATGATAGAATTTTAATGTCTCCCTACCTGAGGGTTTGTTAGAATAGAAACACTTCATTTCCTATTTCTTCTTGCTTACCCTTCCTTTCTCATCATCTCTCCCTTTACGTTTCTCCCTCGTATAGTCTAGACTGATCTGTTATTTGTTTAAAGTCTTAATGTGTTTTCAGATTACATTACTTAGAATCAGGCTGTTTACACATGTTTATAGCCAGATCAGTTTAGGGAAAACGTAATGTTTTATTTTCATACAGAAGGTAAAATAATTTCTAGTTTTATATTTGTTTTTTGATTTCTCATATCCTCTTTTCTCACAATATTGCTCAAATTGGTCTCACATTTTTTGTGTTCAAGTTATTCTTCTGTCTTAACCTTGCTAGTAAGTTTGCAGTCCTCATGTTTCTCTTCCTTATCCTCTTCCTCTACTTTTGCCTCCTCTTCCTTCCCCCACCACTAAGCAACATTCCCTACTTATTCCTCTT